GAGGTGAATTACACTCATGCTTCCTATCCCAATGCATCACGAATCAGCTCCTTTCACTTTTTCATTTTAAATTATATTAGGAGGAGGCACTTAATGCAACAAGATGATGCACATGTATCGGGAGCACCATAACCAGAGGCGTTTGGCAGTTTAAGGCAGACTGAAACTACCGTTGCTTCAGGGGAGTGTTTGATTGCAGCAGCTTTCAACAGTGGAATGATTTCAGAACTTAAGAAGTCAACAAATGGAATTATGAAATATCAAGATAACGAGTAGTAGTAACAAAAAAATTGGGATGACAAAAGCTGTTGCTTTTCTAGTACTGAACTCTGCAGAAGTCACTGCAGGAAAAGCCCTTCAGCAAGAAACAACAGAGCGCAGTCACTACTGTTGCCCCCATGATTGATACCAGCCAAGTATTCATAAGAAGCGGTGATCTCGTGTCGGGGATAGCCTGACTGAGGAAGACGAAATTGGCCTCGACAGCATCCCAGTATACCCGTGAGAAGATGAAAGAAGTGGATGAAGAATGTTGTAAACAGGTTTGAGGAGGTGATAAGAGACTGAGCAAGAAGAGACTAAACAAGTGAATACCACAGAGCAGAAATTTGGCAAGAGAACAGTAGGTGAAGGGGGAAATACAGTAGGAGCTCCAGCCAATCAGTGTGTGAATAGAGGCGAATGGACAGAGCTATTGAGCGAATCATTTTAGCTGCCTTAGTGCACGAACTGGTGGACAGATAAGAAAGGTTATAAAAGGGTATGCTTTTTCTGCTGCGCCAGCTCGGCCATCTTGGCTTTTGTAACTTAATAAAGACCGCCTTCTTACATATATTTTTGTCGTTGTCGGTCCCTACCGTGACAATCTCAGCTGTTTCATGGGGATTTCAACGCTTTTATAAATGTATAGCTGTGCTGGGTTGTAACGCTAGAGGTCGATTGATGCATTTATCCAAACAAACATGTTGGGAACCCAAGAGGTTGTATGAAGCCTGTAACGGGGTTACCCGAAAGAGAGAATTAAAACCAGTATACTCCCCACAGTTGCAGAACCGCAAGGTTGGGGTGCAGAGCTCGGCCTTTGCAACAGGAGGTTTGTGCACAGGTGTTTACTTCTGCATTATGTGTACATTGTCATTTCCCAGGGCTGACACAATTTTTTACGATGTCCTTCTACCTTCTTAGCTTTGCAGCTAGGGCCGCAGTTGCAAAGTCCTTACAAAACTAGTTACTGAAGTTACTAGAGGATATTAACAAACGAGCACCAGAAGACTTTTCTTACTGCTTTCTACTGACATTTCCTCTAATGGCAGAATGCAGTCCTAGTGATAGGATGAGGTGTAATGGTTTCAAACTGAAGAGGGGAGATTTAGATAAGATAAAAGGAGGAAATTCTTCACTGTGAGGCTGGTGAGACACTGGAGCAGGTTGCCCAGAGAAGCTGCGTCTGCCCCCTCCCTGGCAGTGTTCAAGGCCAGGTTGGACGGGGCTTGGAGCAACCTGGTCTAGTGGAAGGTATCCCTGCTCATGGCAGGGGGTTCGAACTGGGTGGACTGTAACTGTTCTGTGATTCATATTTTTTTTAAACCACTGCCATCCTTGTTAGTGGTGTGGGGTTTGAACCTCCAAGACAAATTTGGACAGTGAACCCATTATAGCTTTTAATTCCACTTCATGCTTGCTTGAGCAAAGCCGCAAAAAAGCAGCCACCAGACAAGCGAGGTGCAAAGTCAGTCAGGGCTTCACAGGTGGCTCTGCAAGTCCAACCAGGTAGCTCCCCCTATACTGGCAGTTATTTCCATATTGGTGATGTTCCCCTTTCCAAAACCCCTTCCCTCAACATAGGGCACACTGGTTCTTCAACATTTCAGCTAAACCCAGTCTTTTCTTCTTCAGTCAACCACCCCGATTAGGAACCAGCACTTGCCCTTGCTCTAAGAAAGTCTTTAAATTGAAAGTTATTAACCAGTTATGGCAATAGCCAGAAGCATAGACTGTAATGTACCTACAAAGCTTTAAAGGAACAAACTTTCTGTAAAACAGGTTAACTCCTGCTTGAAGAATGACTCACTGCAATTTAAACTGCTGGATAATGAAATTTTAAGAAAGGCTGATTGGGGACCAAAGCACTGTTGCGGTAAACACAGGGAAAATAAATCCTACTTACAAATCTGAGATGCCCAATCCTAACAGATTTTATTGTGAATATCAATCTATTGCCACATTTATCCACTGCCCAACTCAGGCTCTGTAAAATACCAACAGTATTTAAAGATGTTTCAGCCCTTTATTGCCAGAAGTCGTCAGTCTTCTGAACTTCAGCAAGTCCTTAATACCCAAGAGAGGTGGTATATCCCCCTCACTTTTTATACCACTTTATTTTGTCGTCCCAGGGAACTGTGGCTTACATCTGCAATGATGGACCACTCAACAGCAGCATGCACAGACCCAAGACAATCTATAGCTGTAACAACAAAATAGAAATGCAAAAAATAACTGAATATTAGTGACTATGGTAGCAGTATACTTCAACACTCAGGATCAAGGCATCAAGCCTAAGCGAGACCTGCCTAAAAACTTCTCATATGCAATTATGTCAAAATCATACTTGAACTTCTAAGACATCTAGAAATCAAGCCAAGAACGAGGACCAATGCTTCACAATTGTAACCTCTTCAATTAAAAAAATATTGAGTGTATCTTCTTGGTGCTGCAGAAATACTGCTGCCAATTCAATATGAAAGGAAAATCAGTGACAGAATCATACACCAAGGGTACCGATGGCTCTGAAGCAAAACATTATTCAAGTCTTTAAAGAATGGAACTAAATTTGCTTACTGTAGTCACCCATTTCGCACCTTAAAATCTACTAGTTTCCTTGCTTTTCTCCCAGCAGCTCTTTTATCACTTTCCTTTTTACTTCCTGCATTTTCTGTCTCTCCAAGAAGCACATGCAATGGTATCCCTGGCTGCTCCTTTCTGAGCTCAGAACTGCTCTTAGTGACACACACCAATTTACAGGCAGTTTGTCACATTCTGTAACTTCTTTCCTGTATCCCCTACTCCCCACCCCCCCAAAAAAGCACTGAGTTTTACAGCTGCTAAATAGTTAAATTTAACAGTGTTTGCATAAGATATACTCCACTCAATCTAATATACTCAAGAGTTAACACTGTCTTTTTCATAGTTTAAGAGTGCTCAGATCTCTCTAAATACTGGAGATTATGAGTGGGAATTTCTAAAGCAACTCAGTGTCATGATAAGACATGAGAAATAAGAAATTCTGAATAACGACCTTTCAAGGTCCTACTTGCAGGAGTTCATTCAGATCACGTTCACTCATATGATACTGGATCAAAGCATTTCATGCCACTATGAATTTAAAAATCACAGCTGCCTTCTCACTATGGCAAGCTGTTTTTCACATGAGATCCATATTAAACAGTGAGAAGCTGACCATGTCCACTTCAGTGTTCAAAAGCATACTTTGTTTCAGGAAACAAAAGAACACAAAACCAAGGCATTTAGTTGAAAAAAGAAGTATCTTACAAAAATGGTATCTTAATTCGAGAAATCACAACAGTATTAATAAAATCTTAAAAGACAATTAATACAGTGTTTATTGAGAAGCAGCATAAACCCAAACAATGCATAAAAATCTCAAGTGTTTACTGTTACAGTTTAAGTGCATATATTCCTTTTATTATTTTGTGCCTTTCCACAGGTACAGACATACAGCAGCTACACAACTTCTTTTCAGAAAGCTTTTACTAGTTTGAAATCTCATCTTTATAATTGGGTAACACAGTGAACTAGTTCCAGCAATAAACTCCAGGTTTATATAGACTAGATTTCAAAACAGTAAACTCAACATGGAAGGTGCTAAATTTTTTTAATATTCCCATAAAAGGTGACATAATACACAATTCAAGTGAATTAAGACAGGCGATATACACAAGACATTTGTAAAAGAAATCAGATGTTTAATACAAAATGCTCACCTATCTCTAAAGATAAAAAAGAAAAAGCTTTTTATAAGGTAACAGTATGGGCCCTACTTTCTGCATGTCTAAGCGACAGGTTATTACGGGGATGTCTCTAAAGTTTAAATACAGTCTGTGCCGTCTAAATTACTTCCACTTCTTTTATAAATCAATGATGGAAGATGGAATCACCTAACATAGGAGCCTGAGCACTGAGAGTTAAACTCCCACTTTGAAATGGTTTCTAAGTCAGACTTGCCCCATTCATTACAAAGACAACCTGTGCAGCTCCTTTGGCTGAGGCCATGATCTCTGAATAGCAACCCCAAACAAAACAGGAAACACTTCCACCGCTGAGAAAGAACCAAAGAGTAGAGTTTGGTCAGAATGATAAGCATTAGGGAACAATTCCATGTTTACAGAAAAAATGTTCCATTTCTGAAGAGATGAATGTGAATTCACAACTGTAATCTTTAATTTTAGATAATTTACTAAGTACCACAGTATTGACAATCTTCATAAATACTATTAGTTTGGAAATAAAGATGTCAAAAAAGCACAGACAAATTCATTATTCTTACTGGAAGAACTAGTGAGTTTTTATTTTAAATTTAGCCTTTTGCTTCAAACAGTATGTTGTGGCATCACTTTTACCAACCTTATTCTCAGGGAAGCGGAGATAGTATGAGGATACAGAATAGGCAACAGGGCTTACTTCCATTTTACCACCCCACCCCCAAATTTCCAGAAAACCTTACGTACTGCAGATAGATTACAGGGAATACCAGAATTCACCCATTTCACATGTTACCATCGCCTACATAAAGCTGCTGTGTCTGGCTTGGACAATAGCCACAATGCTCCATCACACTGATTGATGTGGATTAGACTTCTCTATTTCCAGCTTCTTTCCCTCCCAAATGCTGGGGACTGGTGAGGACAGACGCCAACCCTTCAGCTCCATGAGGATAAATGAAGTGCTTCACCTGCCCTGGCAATGATCTACATCCATCTGAAGAGCAGCAAGAGCATATTGACAAAGCCCCTTCCTTGCCCTGAGATATGCCAATACCCCATGAAGCTTACAGCCTTAATAAGTAGAGATGGAAAGTCCTTTGGCTCTCTCAAAGTTTCAGATCCCTCTCTTCAAGAGAGTTTGAAGAGAACTCTTCAGAGTCTTCAAGAAAGACTGAACATAAATGAATCGCATGCAGAAAACCTTAAACCATTTCAACGCCTGGGCCAGAAACACCATGCCATGCCTGGAAGCACCAAAGCAATGACTATAGAAGAAAAAAGATTTACTGCGTTGTTGTCTAATATAGGTTTTCCACATATGTGCTTGGAGTCTTTTGTGTGGTAGTTGACAACCATGCCAATATTCCGGTCAAAACCTGGGAAAAGATAAAAGACGTCATTTTACAAGGCCAACCAAGCTGAAAAGAAACTTAGTAACCAAGTGTATGCAACTTCCTAAATTTAGTTTACCACTATGGTGTTAAACTGCTTAAGAAAAGAGGCCAACAGACTAAACTATATTAGTTGGTTTAATCTGGTAGCTTCAATGAATGGGATATAAATGCAGTTTTTTACATTAGAAGTTACTTCTTTTGAAAAGTTACAGTTTTGTCAGGTCTATTTCTCTCTTTCTTAGTTTCATAGCAATGAAAGGAATGAAGCAAGCTAAATCAGAGGAGAAAAAAGCTGTTCCAAGAGCCATTCTAAGGCAAAGGATGCTGTTTTGAACAGAACAGAAACAACTGATTAGCAACATGCATTTCCTGCCAAGACGTATTTGTTTTCAAAGGACAATTACAGAAAAAAGATAATTACTTGTCTGACAGAAAACAAGCAGAAAACAAGGTTGAATTTATAATTTCTATTTACACAGCGGTTTTATACTACCAGCAGCTGGACTTTTTTCCTAGTACTTAAGCCATTTCCTGCGCTACTTCTGTACTATCAGTACTCTAGCACTGTGTTTCATTAGCTGTTCCTGTACACACACCATTATCCTATCTTTTGTCCACCTGCTTTATTTCGTATGTGGATAAAGGCATAAAATTCTAGCATGCTGGATTTTAACGCCAACTTACACTTTAGTGAAGTATAACTGGGTACGAACCTATGCACACATTCAGGATTGACATAAAGAAACATTCCAAACCAAATCAGTACATTTTATATTAACATTATTTTTCTCTGTAGATATGAATATCTGCCGATACCCACAACATGGAAATTTCATTTTGAGCTGCTGTTTTATTACAAAGAAATTTTCAACGACTCGGAAAAAACTTAAACCCCGCCTTCCCAACCTGCTTGGCAGGTATATAGCTGGTATTACTGTTACCTTTGAATCATACATTTAAACCTAGCTTCGGGTAATGCAAAAGAGGTACAGAAAAAAATCAAACTGCAAAGCCTGATAGTTTAACTCTCAACACTTGCTATGTTTTAGAAAGTCGCAAGTTTTCTTGAGAGAAAAACTGGGAATAAATGCTCATAAATATATACCTCCAATGCACATAAAGCATAGATTCAGAGCATAAACAAGCAGGAAAGGTGACAGTAAGTCCTTCCATTAGCTTTGTTATTGACTGAATGGGTACAGCTTCAGACCGGTAACACAGGAAAATTTCAATCTAATTCTGCGCAGTTATTCAGACAAACTTGTACTAAATAAATGTGTGGGCAGGGAAGGACTTTCTCTTAGAAACAGGGGGTATCGCAGACTATTACATAAACCAAATCCAGCATGATGTTTTCAAAAAAGAGACACAATTTGTTACTACCACTGCCATATTCATGCTTATTGTTTTTCAAGATGCTGCAGAGAGGTTGGAGTATTTCTTATGAGACCACATTGAACAGGGATTGGAAAAGTGAGTTAAAGCAAGGAGGGACACAAAACCTAACAGTGTGCACCACATGAGCAGCGCTATTTCATCTATACCACAGCATATATATACCACAGCATATATGCATATATGGTACACATACTCCAGCAGTGCTTATGAATTCGTAAAAGAAATCTTGGAACTTGCACACTGTCCCTGCTGCAGCTAGCAAAGTAAGTTGCTGAGCATGGAAAAATATCTGAAGTGAAAAAGAAATAGATCCTGATAAATGCAGACATGCATTAGCTAGGTTTACCACATTCTCTTAACGCATCTGCCTCATTAGCAGCATGAAACATTGTCTGAATGCTGAAGTGTTTCCCCTTTAGTACAGAAATATCTAAAAATTCCTCAAAGGGTTAACACTCCATTGTATTTTGGACTTTCCTGGAACTACAAGGAATAGAGCATAAAAACGTCTGGAAAGCCAAATCCACACCATCAACAACAGTTTTCAGTTCTCACTGTGATGGTAGATTTAGAGGGCTTGTATCTCTCAGGCGGTTCATCTGCACATTCAGACCTCAACTGTATACTGACAACGAAATCCAAAACCTTACATTCTCTCTGTAAACCCACCGTTAAACAGAATAGCATCAGATACAGTCTTTAAACAATTTCTAAACACAGGGTAAGTTTACAGGTTAGCCTAAAGGTTGTCTGTAATGTTTATTCTCAGACAATGATCCTTAAGGGCAATGAATAAATAATTACTGAAATCATTTAGAATCATCCAGCTAACAGTTTGTTGGGTTTTTTTTGTTTTTTTTTTTTTTTTTTAAAAAAAAAGGACATGATTTTTGCTTTTAAAGTCACAGCTAGTTTGTGACAGGCTTAACTTATAGGAAACAGTACTCTATTAAGTGTTACCAAAAAAAAAAAAAAAAAAAAAAGAGAGAACGTAAAATATTGTGTACATTTTCCTGAAGCTTTTCTTATTTAATTCTTAAAGCTAAGATTACTGCTAAGTCTTCAGAGTTAGAAATGGAGCTTCTGCAGTGACAACTGAATCTGAGTAAACGGATAAGATTAAGCTGACATTTTCTTGTATAAAAAGTCACCATAATTAGCTATATAGAAAAGGAGAGGGCAGTAATTGCTTTTTCCAAGACATTATATTTTTCCAAGGTAACATGTTGGAGATCTCTGGTCTCTTTCAGTCATCAACAAGACAATAACATAAGATAAACAAATCAAAATGTGGAAAATGACCAACTGCCCTTGCTCATTTTCATTAATATGTCAATCACTTTGGCTCCCTTTACCCTATGTGTTGCTAATTCTGTATTTTTTTCCATTTAAAAATCATGTCCTCAGCCCTTCCTGAAATTCAAGTTAGTTTTTAGGTTACATTGGGCGGGGGGCAAAAAAAGGGGAAGAATCTTACCGCTGTATTGCATCGTAGCTCCCAAATATGAATCAACAATTGATCCCAGTAAGCCAGCTGCTGCACCAAACACAATAATGGGCCATTGTGGAGCAGACATTTCCAGATCATTCACGAAAACGAGTTGTGTTATGAAGTAGGCTATACCTACTGTCATGCCCCCAAGCAAACTTGAGAGCAGGCCCACTAAAGTAACAGCTCCATTAGTACCTAAATCAAACAAAACCAAGCTGGTTTACAAACTATTTCTTAAAGACTTATATTTGTTCAAATGTTTTATATGAAATCAAAGTTGTGTTCATGGTGATCTTCCCTCCCCTTTTATCCACAGGGCTCGGCTACCATAGCCTTTATTTACAATCCCCATTATGCTGCTGAGAAGCTCAACCTGCACCATTACAGCCTATTACTATTACTTTTCCTGTCTCTAAGGCTAGTGATCTAGAGATTCACTAGCATTAAATTAAAAAAAACCCAAACAGATAGCACACCTCTCAATGTCACCTGGTACTCATCTGCTGTAAGGCATGGGGGGAAGGATAAGAAAAACACTTGCTCTAAAAAATACAGAGCTTGAGATGTGCATGTTATTAAAGCAATGCCTCTTTCAGGAAAAGTATACCAAGACATATTTCACCAACACATTTAAAATAAAGAATAAAACCCATAGAAAGGAAGTTGTTTGACAGTTCATTGAATAAAAAGCTTATAAAGAGAAAAAAATGCCCACGTATTTAAATCCTGTGCCACAAGGTCTAAAACTCAGATCAACATGCCAGCAAGACTCAAAAAAGACACACTGCTTCAAGGTAGCAATGTCATCCGCTGTGTGGACAAGGTTTGACAGACAGGAGGTTGACTTTACCCACCCTTGGTAAGATATTAAAGGAAATGACCGATTTGGTCAAGAAGTGAGTTTTTTTTTGTAGTGTCTGTACTGAATATGTGTATATTCTTCTACTGATTTAAAATCTTAATGTCTGAAAAAAATCAGTTAATAATTTGCATTCTTTCTATTATTGGCAATATAAACATTTTTAATAGTGCCAGAGATGAGAAGTGGCAGCATTCACTAAGAATAATTTTAACTCCCTGGATGCCATCTTGGTGCATATCATCAACGAGACACATTAGAAACACAATTGCGTATATTCCATTTCAGTGAATATTCCTGCTAACATTCTGAGGATTTGTGTTGTTTGCTCTTCTGGGGCTTTTTTGGAACTTTTCACATTGGATGCATAATTCAAAACCGATTAAGAACACGTAGAACAAATAAAACCTTACCTACTGGAACCTTTTCCCAGGTTGTTATCAACCTCGGCTTGCTTTTACTCACAACACTACCAATCTCTGAAGCCCATGTATCACCAGCAGAGCTTGCCAAAGCTCCCAAAAGGGATAAGCACATCCATGATGCTGTGTATTGCTTTGAAAAGTCGATAGGAATTTCACCCGGTCCATTTTCTATCATATACAAGACAGCCAGCTCAGTAGGAACACCGCCGTTGCAGAGTACTTGCACCCAATTCCTCTGTCCACCTGAAGTGACAAAACCTAAGTTTTAGTATTTTCGGGAAAAATACCTTGACAGGGAACAGCAGGAGACATGACAAAAGCAAAACACATGTCTATAAAGTTAACTTTGAAAAGACACACTCTCAAAACAGAAACTAGATAGCATTCTATTAAATAGAACAGAAGCAAAAGCAAAGTCGCTTACTAATGTTCATAGGGATGGGAATGGAGGGGAGGCACGACAACAGTGATCCCTACCCTGGATATTACACCTCACCTGACCCTTTGAAAGGAAGAGGAACGTGCAGTTTTTATTCTCCACAAGGGATCTGAAAGAATGAAAATGTTACGGCTTACCTTCTTTGTATTCTGAATCTATTTGCTTCTTTATATCTTTTTTCCATTTAGTAAGTTTTGAAGATGTAACAAAAAATACAAACAAAGAAGTGAAGAAACTGTAATTTGCAACTGCAAGGATAAATCCAACCACTAATCCTATAAAAAAAAAAAAAAAAGAGTATATGAAGTTCCTTCATGTAACATTGCCTGCTTTGAAAAGCAATTCAGTATTCTGAAGCTCTTTAGTATGAAGAGTATCCTCAAGATACACCTGAGACAATCATGCAATAGAATTACTGAAGCATCAATATCTATATGAGAATTCCAGAGACACCTTGACTGAAAAATAATCAATCAGTTATCTTTATCATTTTCTCTTAAATTTTATTGCTAAACTGCTGATTTTATCGCTACAGGCTGAAGTGAGTGGTTTTTAAGACATTCTCTTGCCACAAATCAGTAACACCATGCAAAATAAGTCAGAGCAATTAAAAAAGAAGCTAATGGATATATAACTGAAATCTAAGTACTCTACCTGAAGAATATGATTATTTGTATAAGAAGCACATACACAGCTGTGGCTGTGTCTCTACCAGCAAGGTTATCTTCAGTTTGGGAACCAAATCCCTCCCCCAGGGTCTCTACCTGTATAACCCTCCTCCACATCTTAACAGATGCCTCTTCTCCCTTCTGTTCTTTGTTTTCTTCTTCCTATTCCGATTTTTATGCCATCTTTTTCTTTCTGTAATATTCTTAAGTATTTGAGCTCCCAGGTGTGCTGCTTTTTTTATCTCCTCCTTCACAGGGGAGGTCTAATTCTCACTGCCCACCACGAGATTACAATTCTTCACGGCTGAAAGAAAATTGGCTGCACTTAAAGCAAATGCCAATATAGGTTGGCTAGCAGAGCTGTTATGTTAAGAGGTAAAAACACAGCAGAAGAGAAAATATTAAATTTTTTTTAATTTAGAAAACACTCCCCTGAACTCAGACAGAACAAGATTTGTAAAACGGGTGACACGGGAAGAAAGGATTTGAGGTCCCGTTTCCTTCCATTGACCATCAATTCAGACAATGTCACAAGGCAAGGGTGAATCACCTCACCCAGAAATCTTGCATCAGATTTCAACAACTGTTGCAGGCTACACTGGCGTCTTTCTCACATGGTCAAGACAAACTTTTTTGAAACCGTCATTTTCTTCTTATTTTTTGGGAGGCCAAAAAATGCCTAGAACTGCTCATACTACAGAAAGGAGAACCACATTACCTTTACTGACTTCCTACAAGGCAAGTAGGCTGCTGACATGGCTCAGTTTTATGGTATTTCTTTATCACTACCTCTGCCATTTGTTTATCTCTATGTGAATCCATCTATATGCTATATCAAAACATGCAATTTACCTGCATACTGTACTGAAGTCTAAAAAAATCTTCTAGGTTTATATAAATGTAATGAAAATATTAATCAAATTAATTACAAACAGCAGCAAAGATTAACTTGACTATTTAAACAGGCATGAGAAAAAAAATCAGTATGAATTCAAGGTATGTATGCTTACATTTATATTTTTATTATAATAGATCTAGGTAGTAAAGTCTTAAAAGAACATTACGTACAATAAAAAGGACCTTAATTTAGTTCACTAAATGTTTAGCTTAACAGTCATCAGGAAAAAACATACCTCCCAATGCACCACTGTGATCAAGACTCTTCTTCTTAAAACCCTGTGTAGCAATGATTAGTGGAACCAAGATTGAAAAAAGCCATCGCCATGGAGAAATGGGTTGTAAAGTACCTGATAAATCAAATAAAAGGGTCACAGATGATCCTTATAAGCCTTTTTTATGCCTTTATAGCTGAAAATTCATCATCTTCTAGTATATATTTAAAAACTGATCTTAATAAAGATTAAAATTTTTTACCCTTCAGAAGAATGGAAGACCAAAATATTTGCAATTATCTACTCATTTTTTCCATCCAGCTTTCACAGAAAAAAGAAAATACATTACATGAACTAAAATTAATTACCAACAAGTAGCAAATGTGACAAGAAATAAACAGGTGGTATTTTCTATTCTAAAAGGGATTTATAAACTCCAAAAATTAACATTCAAAATGTTAAAACTATCTGAAACCTGATTTGGATAGAACAGATAAGTTCAGACTTTAGGAAAAAACCCAAACCAACCATACAGCCACAGTAAGGTGTATAGAATTCAGTTTCAAATATGAATAAAATTCAAACTAAAATTCCAGTTAAGAAAACAGTAGCATTCCTCTCATATACAGAGACCACAGAGCAACTTTAAGTAAATAAATTAGTGCAAGAGCTTCCCTCACAGATAAAGTTACGACTAATTCTCTGGTAACTATAGGAACAAATCTGAACTTTTATTATTATTATTTCAATGATATTTCAGAAAAGATGGCAACAATAAAGGCAATGAACAACACTGTCTATGCTCACTAATGGTTTTTAGCATTGTAGTAGAAGGAAAATTAGTACAATATATTCAAAGCTTTAACTTGTTTTTCCAGCCATCCCAAATACCAGTGCTTTTAGGGTAAGCCATCCTTGTTTATCAAAAGCTTTGGCTTGGTAGCCTTTGGCTATGAAATGCAAGCAACTTTTTTCATCCCTTTTTTCATTATCTGTGTATTCTGAATTATTCCTAGGCTATGCCTAATATTGTCACTTCGTTGTCTATGCCTGTCAACTGATATGTCTATCAATTAGAATTTTACACCATGTTAATAGAAGGACTGCTGCTACCCGGCTGAGAGAAGACTTCAGAAGTAGTTTCATGTCTATGTGGAGAGAAGCACCTCAGCGTACATAGAAGCTAGCTAACAGCTGCATTTCTATACGCTTAACATTACTACCTTATCCTTTTTATTCTAGTTTGGAAAACTTAAGTATTTTGTAAATATATTAAGTGCTTCATTGAGCTACAGTGATAGTTGGTGTCACCTAATAAAACTAGCAGGAAGTCCTGCAGTTCGTATACGTGTTTATTTTATACGCCGATCCTGTCCTTCCACTCGTCTGTGAACAGACCATCAGTTTAATCACAGCATTACTGATAATTTACACTGATGCAAGGATGGAAGTTTAGATGCTCAGCCTTCTTTTACAGTTTTAAAAAAGAAATATTCCTCTTTTGTTGGTATCCAAAACGTTCTGATTGTTTCTCCACGATACTTGCTTGAAAACACAAGAACTTCCAAACTGGATCAAGCCAAACATCCGGCTGACTCTGAATCCCAACTGGCAGTGGCGAGCCACACATGTTCAAGGGAAGAGTGTAAGGAACGGGTAAAGATTGACCTTCCCTGTTTTACTGGGAACTTCTATGTTACCATTCCTAAAATCCCCCATATATTTGCCCAATTCATTTTTTAAAACAGTTTTAATTTTCATCTCCACAACCACCACCCACAGAACTGAACTCTGGTTTTAGATGCACTGGAAAAGGCCTTATTCTGAAAGCTGAACAGCAAAGATCCTGCTGCCTCAAGTTTCACCAAACATCTGCTAAATTTTATGACCAACTGAATAATGATTTCCTATTCACATTCTTCTGGCCATTTGTGACCTATATAAAGTCCCCTTTCCCTGCTGAAATATCTTTATCTATTTAAGTCCTCTTCAAACGAATGTTGTTACCTGCTCTGACCATCCTTGTTGCCTTCGCTGTTCCTTTATAACTCTGGTACAGGTAATTTGAAGTGGGATGACCACAAGTTCATGCAGTACCCATAGCAGCGACACACCAAGATTTTATGATTTCCAACAACCTATTGTTTTTTTTGGCCAAGTGAAAGGTGTTTCATTTCCAAAAAGGGGTAAGAATACATTAAGTAAGCTGGATGGTGTAATTCCCCTTCCCAATTACCTGCTGGTATTGAACCAGGCTACCGACCTCTTCAGTCATGCAGTATATTAATTACAGACGTATGTATTTGCCCTGCTCTTCTAGTCATCTTTTCTTGCATTACTATCTAATCACCTTTATCCATGGTAATGAAGCTCCTGGGTCCCTCTCTCCACCATACCTCAGGGAGAATTTACATCCCTCAGGACCTGACAACATATCCATTACCTTTACAATGGATGTTCTTACGGACTTTATTAACCCTACATTTTTCACCAAAAGGGCTAGACCTAGAAATTAGGAACACAAACAATTAAACTTATTCCAGCAAGCCACTGGCTTCCCAAAATCATGATTTTTAATGAAGAACAATATATACTATAAATTTTGCATTTAAGGGAAGGTACACATGTGACATATAGGTCGGGCATTACATAGTCTGGTTTCCACCTGAGTATTTACCCTCAAGCAAGTCTTAAGTTATCTAGTGCCATTCTCCTTATCCTGTCTGTTTCTCTAAGCTACAGAAAATCTGGCTTAGCTGAGAATCACAGATGATTTAGACTTCTCAATTCTTTGCTTTGTTCCCAACCTGGCAGCAGTACAGACAACCGCACACTTCGGTCTGGAGCAATACAGAGACTTGTTGAAAAGCAAACTGCATCCAACAATTGCACGTCTTGTAACATGTATTTACTCTCAGATTTTTTCTTCTCTGAGGATTCTCTAGACTAATCCTTTTCCACTTCTACGTTCCATTGTCCTCCCTGTTATTTTTTCTCAATTTTATCTAGAACAGCACAACTAAACAGACTGAGCAACAAGATAATTTCTTTTAATTTGCATTAGAAATTATTTTCTTTGTGGCATGGTATATTCAGCATAGACTGAAAACAGATACTTAAGCTAGGAGATACCTTTCTTTTTCTATGCGATAACGTGCCCCACATAGTGGGGGGAATCCTTTCCACTGATTTTTGTTCTGACAGCAGCTGCAACAGAATTGCCACATTACTCAAGTCTTGCCTTACGATTTCACATGAGTATGGATTTTAGGTTTACGTGTTTGCTAAGTGAACGGCACACGTGCATGAAGTATTTAACTGGCAATTAGTCAAATCCAAACCTTTTTACAAGACAGGATGTTTTTCATTATATTCTTCGCTGACAATTATTAAATTCAAATTGCCAAGGCAGACCACTTGAACCTCTCACAAAACAAAAATATGCTGGTTGTCGAAACTATAAACGGTTTACTTTTACAAACAAAACTGAATAAAAAAAAACCCCAACAAGCTATTTATATCTTCAGAGCCTTCTAAAAAGCTTTTTCTTGAGTTCCCAGTTTGTTCCCTTTGGTTAGTCATTCAAGTCACCAGGTTCTGAATTTAAACAAGCTTGCAGAACAGGAAAACAATATCCCACTCAGCTGTCATAATTCCACACCATTCCATAAAGCACTAGTGTCCATAGTAACTTATCTTCTAAGAAGGCAATTTATCAATGTCCTAAACATATTTGTTTCCTTCTACAATTCCACAACACTTACTAAAATAAAAGCAGTTAATGTAAGTTAATAAAGGAACTACTGTCCAGTTAAAAGGTGCATTATTTTAATCACAAAACTGTCTCAATAAATATCTGCCTCAGTGGTGAGATTCTTACAACCTTTATATTCTATCACCTCACTTTGAGTTTAAATTGAAAGACACAAATTTCACTGCAAAAGAAGACAAAAGCACATTTTACAGAACACTGAAATTTAAAAGCCCGAAAAGAAATTCTTCTGTAATACTACAGTTTAGAAGTCTTCCATCTTTGCAGTCACGGAGACAAGAAAGCTACTGACTATATCCTGAACTACACTATTTACTCTGACAGAAATTCACTACCAGAAAAAATACAAGAAAGCCAGTCTACCGGGTGAAAGTGGTGTGCCCACTTCCTAAAACATTAGCCCTTTCAATTCTTTTGAACTTGATGTAAGGCTTTCAAAAATACACTTCAAGCTAACGATTATCTCAGCAAAATTTTAAGTAATAATTTTTGTTTAAAAAACCCACAAACGTTTAAAAAGTAAAGCAAATAGCTAATGTAGGTTTTGAGCTAAAAATACAAAATCATGAGAAATTATTTATCATATCTGCTATACAAATACAAGACATCCCAAATCTAGCATTAATTAGGTCTCAGTCTCAGAAGAAAGATTTCACACAGGCACAGCAGCTGGTCTTGCTGGAAAGCTAAACATGATGGTTTTCAACAAGAACTTTTGTGCCAGCAGTACCTAGAGTTTTGCAGATACACAGGCTCCCTCGTGCAAAGTAGGACAAACGTATTTCACAGCAAAACACTTGTCATTGCAAGTGCAATCATTTCACAAGATGAAAACTTCTCCTCCGGGTACTGAAAAGCCCCAAGGCCGTAGGAGGTGTGCAAGGGAGTCTTTGCAGTCAAGAGTTGACTCAAAACCTCAGAAGAAAAGCACCACCAACTGTGTATGAAGAGATCTCCAGTGCTGTAGTCTGGTATGGCTCATTACAAACCAGGGAGGTTTTTGGTGTTAACTTGAGCATGAGCAGCACCAGAACGCAAAGGGGTTATTTTTGGTTGGTTGAGTTAACAAACAGAATTTTCATCTTTTTAAACTGATGGTTTTGTATTTCCTTGAAAAAGAAACAAAACAACAAAACAAAAACCAAATGCATCAGTTCTAAATTACTACTAAAGGTAAGTAGTTAAGACTAAGAACACATTTATTGTTTTATTATGGATCCTTTAACTCTTCCACTTTATCAACATTTTGGTCGCTGCTGGGTGCCTGAGCATTACTGTGAACTATAAACTGTAAATTAATAAATGCATGTTTGTGGTATGTGCATATTTATGGTCAACGGCTGTGAATTTCATCACTTTTATGGGCTGAACTGATTTAAGTTCTCTCTCACCCTTCATTAAGCTCGCTCCTACTATATGCTTCATTCACCTCCTCAAGCCAAGGTCTTTGCATTGTCTCAGGCAAACGGACCACGCAAGGTGTATGTCCTTCTTCTGTAATCATTCTCTACAAAAAGGAGGATTTGTCTGCAGTCTCCTCCTTTCTATCAGTCCCTATCCTGACTCACCTGTATCAGGCCTCTCTACGCTATCAATTCTCAATCACATTAGATAGCAAGGACTGGGATACTCTAATTAGAGGCAAAACTCAGAGAGCCATATACCTATAGAGGCCACACACTTAAGTTGCGTGTTTATATGCAACTTGGCAAGCTCTAAATAACACAAACAAAACCTGTTTGTGAAGCCTCCTTATGCATACCTTCTGCTTTGGCTTGTGAGATGCCAGACACATAGAAGTGCCCAGAAAACACAGATTTACCCGTACTAACACCCCATCCTAAACCCCAAAGCACTGAAAAACACTGAACAGAGATATCCAACTGCCACTGCAAAATTCAGCTTATACTGGTGGGATATTTATTCTAGCTTCTTATGGATCCAAGGTGACACTAGGCTGTTGAAGGTGTTCATAAAGCATCCCTAGGCACTCAGCAACACTGCAATGACACTGGAGCTCTTCCTGCAGACTGAGGTCTTAAGGACAGGTCTTTACCTGTCCTGGGAAGGCAGTTAAACTCTTCTAGGCTTGAACTGATGCTGAGGGCAGTACTGCTGCTTTTGCACATTGCTGTAAAAACGGTCCTAGAACTGAAATGACAGACCACAGAAAGTACTAGTGTCCCTGCAACTACACACAACTAAGCCACAGTCTGCCTGAGCTGCCTTAACAGAACACAAAGCCGACTGTACGCACTCATGCCAGACACTCCATGCATACATGTACGCACTCATGTCAGACACTCCATGCATACATTTCTCTTGTACAGTTTTCCCCTGCTTCTCTGCTCCTTGACCGAGGAATTCTTCTTGCATGCCCTGCTCAAAGGTTGCATACGCACTCCTAAAACTGCTTTGAAGGCTGGTAAACTCCTCCTGTGCTGTCACTACTTCCCCTGAAAAAGACACCTACTAGCTAGCTCTTTCTTTTCACTTTTTCACTTTTATCTTATTTGTTTTCATTTAGGGAGATAAAAATCACAAAGAATAACATAATTTTAAATCCCACGGGCTCTCTGGGCAGAGCTGCAAAGAAGAGTACAGTTAACACTTTCTAAACCATTATCAGCTACTGTCAGGACTGAGGTTTTCAGCTCTACTGACGACAGCAGAGGCTGTGCACACCCCTCTTCCAATTCCCTATCTCCAGCCTGCAGGGGCTGGAGGAAAGGGTTGGGGAGGGAGAGAGCGGGCGGCTCGGTTCACCCCTCACCAGGCCATGCCGGCCTCTCTCCAGCCCCCCGGCCACTGAACTCACCGTAGTAAGTACTTGCAGTCATGGACACGATCCAGAACACCAGAGAAATACATATGAGCAAGTTGAGGACGACAATATTCACCATCATCTTGAGGTACTCCTTGAAGAAATCCTCCTGGTCACAGGACATAGGAAACCAGAGGGAGAACACCTGGTGGGGAAGCACAAGGCCCAGCGCATCAGAGACACCGCTACTACTACTACTACTACCACCTCCTCCTCTTCTTCTTCCTCTTCCTCCTCCTCCTCCCCCCGCCTGAGCCGTGGCCCGGCCCCCCCCCACGCCCGCCTCTCGCCCCTGGCACCTCAGGGCTCTGCCAGGAGACACGAAGGCGTTCACGGGGAGGCGGCTGGAGACCCCCGCCCCGTCTCCCCTCCTCGCACCGCCCGGCTCCGCCACCGACCT